AAAAAAAAAAATTCAAGAAAAAAAAAAAGAGAAAAAAAATCACCCCCCCCCCCACCACCCCGAAAAAAAATAAAAAATAAAAAAGATCAAAAAGCCACAGCGGCAACAACAACAACGCGGCGGCGGGAGGAGGGTCCCGCGGTATTCCTGCGGCCGGGAGAAGGGGAAGCAAAGCCAGGAACTAACGCCGGAGCACGACGGCCATGGAGGAGAGGAGGAGGGGGAGGAAGGCCGTACACATCCGACTTCCCGGGCGCCGCGGACATGCGAGGTGCGAGCGGGTCCCCCCGCCCGGGGGCGGCCGTTCAGCTGCGTCCAGCCGGGATCGCCGTAACTCCGGGAGCCATCGCGGAGCGGGCGCGGAGCGGGGCAGCGGCGCCCGAGCACGCGGTGCCGCCACAGCGCCCGGGCGGAGCGGGGCGGCGGGCGGGGGACAAAACCCGGGCGGCCTCTCCGCCGCCGCCCAATGGCAGCGCGCCGCGCCCACGTGGGGCCGCCGGCGGGGTGCGGTGATTGGCTAGCGCTGGCGTGACGTCACAATGGCAGCTTGTGTCTGACGGAGGGGCGGCCGCCGGCCACGCCCACCGAGGGCCCCGCCCCGCGCAGGCCCCGCCCCGCCCCGCGCCCCCCGGCCCGGCCGTGACTCGGGCCCGGTGCTGCCGTAACCCCGCTCCCGCGGCCCGGTTCGGGAGCCGTGGCAGCGGAACGCCTCCGCTCCGCGGGCCGCCGCGCCGAGAAAGCGCTCGGTGCGAGCCCCCCGCGCCGGCGGGCGGCGGGAAGGCCGCCCAGCCTCCCCCGGCGGCCGCGCGGCCCCTTTGATGTGTGGTGAGGGCCGCGCTGCTCCCCCTGCGCGCCTCCCCTCACGCCTGAGGGGGTTTAACGAGGAACACGGGTAATGGCGTTAACGTCAGAGCCTCCCGCCGCGCCCCGGGGACACCCGGCTGCGCCCTCGGGGGACACCCCGCGCCCGCCCCACCGGAGCGGGAGCGGCCCCGGTGCCGGCGGCCCGAGGGGAGCGGGGCCCGGGCGGCCGCGGCCCCACGGGCGGGCCGGGCCCGGCCCAGCGCACAAAATGGCCGCTGGCCCGCGCGTCAGACGGAGCCTCCGCCCCACGTGGGGCCGCGCGCCGCTCACCGGCGCTCCGCCAATCACAACGCGGAGCGGGCAGCCGCTCCAACGCTATTGGCCGGCGGGAGCGGCGCTGTCAATCAAAGCCACGCGGGGCCGCCGGCGCGCAGCCCCCGCCCGCCGCCCGCCCGCCATGGCGGCGTAATTAGCCCGGGCCGGCGCTTCCTCCAGCTCAAACAATCTGTCACCGCCGAGCCGGGCGGGCCGCGGCACCGCCGCGATCTCTGCGCCAACGCCAAGCCTCGCCGATTTCTCAAGCAGAGCCAAGCGCCGCCGTTTAAATAACAAACAGTTGGGCGAAACGCCCCGAAACGCCGGCCCGCTCCTCGTTCCCCGGCGCGGGGGTGCGAGCGCCCCGCTGACCCCCGGGCTGCGGGATGGGGGTGCCCCGGTCCCCCCCCGCCCGCCGCTAATTGGGCGCGTTCCGGTTGTTGACGTGACGAGCGCTGTCAGCGCCCGGAGCTGCTGATTGGCTGTCGCCGCCAGGCCACGCCCCTGCCCCACGTGGGGCGCGGCCGGAGCGCCGCAAAACGCGGTGCGGATAAACGCGGAGCGGAGTCACCCCCGCGCCCTTCCCGCCTCCTCCGCCATTCCCAGCTCTTCCTAATTCCCACATTCTGCCACCTCTCGGCCTTTGGATTTTGGTTTTTCCTCTGCCGAGGCAGCAGATCTTTGTGAATCCCCTGCACTGCATGGGGTGAAGCTGGAGGATCCATTGGTGCGCCCATTGGGATGGACATCAGGATGGACATGGGGTGTCCACCGGGATGGACACTGGGTGTCCATTGGAGCATCCATCAGGATGGACATTGGGGTGTCCATTGGAGCATCTATTGGGGTGTCCATTGGGGTGTCCACCAGGATGGACATTGGGTGTCTGTTGGGGAACCCATTGGGATGAACATTGGATGTCCATTAGAGCATCCATTGGCATGCAATAGGGTGTCCATTGGGGTGTCCACAGGATGGACATTGGGTGTCCATTGGGGTGTCCATCAGGATGGACATTGGCTGTCAGCTGGGTGTCAGTTGGGGTGTCCATCGGGATGGACATTGGCTGTCAGTTGGGTGTCAGTTGGGGTGTCCATCGGGATGGACATTGGGTGTCAGTTGGGTGTCCATTGGGGTGTCCATCGGGATGGACATTGGGTGTCAGTTGGGTGTCAGTTGGGTGTCCATTGGGGTGTCCATCGGGATGGACATTGCAGTCCCCCTGGGGTGCCCATCGAGTGACCCACCGGGACCCCCGTGGTGGTTCCCACCGAGGAGCAAAGCCCCTCTGGCAGGCAGCTCCTGGGAGCTGGGACAGTGTGGGAACACAGCTCTCCAAAGCGCTCAGACCTGGAGCAGCTCTTGGAAGCGCCGGTGCCAGGGAAACAAGGAAAATTAACGGCAAGGAACAAGCTTGGAAATATTCCTGGTGAAACTGAGCCTTATTCCTGCTGCGAAGCGCTCCCTCCGCAGCTCCTGCCGCCGAGGGGGACGAGGCTGAGGGGAGGGACGTGGCCGAGCTCCCGGTGTCACACACTGCCATCGCTGCCAGGACATCCCGAAGCAAAGGGAACAGCACCTGAAAATTCTGTCCTCGGGGAGGGACTGGGGATGGGACACACTGCCCTTCCTGCCAGCTCATCCTGGGCTCATTCCCAGCAGGAAAAGGGGGGATTGTCCCTCTCTGCCTCCCCAGGTGAGACCCCACTGGATCCCGGCATCCAAGGGATGTGGAGCTGCTGGAGCAATTCCAGAGCTGGGAATGTTCACCTGGAGAGGAGAAGGATCCAGGGAGAGCTGGGAATGTTCACCTGGAGAAGGGAAGGATCCAGGGAGAGCTGGGAATGTTCCCCTGGAGAAGGGAAGGATCCAGGGAGAGCTCAGAGCCCCTTGCAGGGCCTGAAGGGGCTCCAGGAGAGCTGGAGAGGGATTTGGGACAAGGGATGGAGGGACAGGACACAGGGAATGGCTCCAGAGGTTGGATGGGATCTTGGGCAGGAATTGTTCCCTGGCAGGGTGGGCAGGGGCTGGGATGGAATTCCCAGAGTGGCTGGGGCTGTCCCTGGATCCCTGGAATGTCCCAGGCCAAGCTGGAACCTGGGAGGATTCAAAGATTCTGTCCAGTCCTCACTCTGTTCCCACTGAGCAGGAAAATGTGGGAAAGGGGGTGATTCCCGTGCTGGGGCTGAGCCAGACTCTCTGTCCCAGGGGCTTTCCGGGGCCAGACTCGGGGGACGTGAGGCCACGGGGAGAGGAACAGAAAGCGGCGATTTTGCACTGAAAATTCACTTTATTGCTCAAAATAGAAGCCATTAGCTGGGCTGTGCCCCTCCCCCCGTGGTACTTATGGACAAATTCTGATTTTTACTTAATGGTTTCCCTGAAAAGGTTGTAATTTTCTTCCCATTCCCATCGAGCCACAGCTCCAGCGCTGTTGTGGTGAACTCCAACAGCCGAGGATGGCTCTCATTAATTGATATTCCTCATGCTGGGACTGCACTGAAAGAGGAGATGTTTTATTTTAGCTTATTAAAACTCACCTGGTTGGGGAAAAAAAAAATAAAAGAATCAAAAGAACGATTAGGGGTGAAAGGAAACGTTCTGGTTCGTATTGATTTAAGGTCTGCTTAAATTGATATTTGCACATCCCAATTAGAAAGCCGTGATCTTTTCCCAGAACTTCTTTTTCCGACTTGGGTTGTCTTTTTCTCAGGGATCTTAGGAAAAGCTGCGGTGGGAGAAGCAGCTGTCTCCTGTCCCAGCTGGACATCAGTGGGGACATCATGGGGACATCAGTGGGGGCATCATGGGGACATCATGGGGACATCATGGGCACATCATGGGCACATCATGGGGACGTCATGGGGACATCAGTGGGACATCAGTGGGACATCATGGGGGCATCAGTGGGGACATCAGTGGGGACATCAGTGGGGACATCAGTGGGGACATCATGGGCACATCATGGGGGCATCATGGGGGCATCAGTGGGGCATCAGTGGGACATCATGGGGGCATCAGTGGGGACATCAGTGGGGACATCAGTGGGGACATCATGGGCTTCCCGAAGCTCCCGTGCGAGGGACATCATGGGGGCATCAGTGGGACATCATGGGGACATGAGTGGGACATCAGTGAGGACATCATGGGCACATCATGTGGGCATCATGGGGACATGAGTGGGACATCAGTGGGGACATCATGGGGACATCAAGGGTGACGATCCCTCCCGGGGGTGTCAGCCCCAAGGGTGGCTTTGCCCCCGTGTGTCCCCTTCCCGGTGCCCGTGAGGTGGCACAGCCGGGAAAGGAAGCTGGAGATGTTCCCTCCCCTCGGGGGGGAAACCTCAGGCCCAGCTTCTGGCCGGGGGTGTTGTGACACTTGGTGACACCGTCCTGTCCCCGGCAGCCTTTCGGGGAACCGGCGGAGCCGCCCTTCCTTCCCCTTCCCCTTCCCGAAGCTCCCGTGCGCCTGCAGCCCCGGTGCCCCCTCGGAGGTGTCCACAGCCCCCCCAAACCCCCAGGAGGCGGCTGTGGGACACGAGGGAGGGAGATTCCCGCGGGAAGAGCCTTCTGGAAGGATCTGTACACCCTCACGGCCACCCCGCGGGGACACCCCGGATGTCCCCGGCCGTTCCCCGGGGCGCTGCGGATGGCGGGGCACACACACGTGTGCGCACAGAGGTCACACACGCCCGCAGCCGCGTGTGTCCCTCGCGTCCCCTCCTTCGGGAGCCGCCCCACAGGTGACTTTATCGCTGCCGGGGCGGTGCCAGCCCCGTCAGGTGTGTGTTTACACTGCAGGTGACACGATCTCGGCGCAGGGCAGGACCCTGCCTGCCAAATTCCCCTCGGCTTTATCCGAGCGGGGATTTCGGGGCGGGGAGAGAGGCGGGGGAGCGGCCGGGAATGAGAGAGCCCGGAGATTCGGTTCTGCGGGGAGCCGGATCCGCTCCGGGCGGGGAGCTCTGCCAGCCCCGCTGGGCTCCGGACAGCGCTCAGCCCCGAACCCCTCCGGCCGCGGGGCTGTGCCGGGCTGGCCACGGGAATCCGCGGGCAGCGGCACCGGGAGAACGGGGAGAACCGGGGAGAACGGGGAGAACCGGGGAGCATCAGGAGAACCGGGGAGAACCGGGAGAACCGGGGAGAATCAGGAGAACCGAGGAGAATTGGGGAGAACCGGGGAGAGCCAGGAGAACCGGGAACACTGGGGAGCACAGGGAGAACCGGGGAGCGCTGAGGAG